GGGGGGGGGCAGACATTGCCTGAGTTGCTTTGCAGTGCCTGCCGGCCGTGCAGGCAGGCAGGCAGGCAGGCAGGCAGTGTGTGGATGTCACGTGTGGTCGGATGAAACCGAATCTTGCGTCCACTTCTGTCTCTCTAGGGCGGACGTGTTGACCTCTGAACACCCTCTCGTCGATGGTCGCTATGTGTCATAGGTCGTGTCAATTAGAGAGGCGGCCGGTGGCTGCCGTGTCGGGAGAGAGAGGAGGGTGGAGGGCCCGTTTTGATAGATGTCGCTGGACGGCGGTGGCTGGGCAAAGAGGAGATGCGAATCGGTCGGTCTTTGCACATGCCACACACACTTGAATCGATGGATCAAGCGACAGAGGTCTGTGAGTATTACACGCACCAAATTGAACGACAAAGCGAAAAAAGAAGGAGGAGTAGCGAAGCTATGTACAGATAAAACCAACACAACAGACTCCCACTCCACTCACACGTATGCACACACATCACCCACCCATACACACACACACACACACACGCATCACTGACTGACTGGCATTATAGGCACGGCACGCACAGCCAGCCATTCAATTCATTCCTATGCCCCCACCCCCTCACCCCCGGCCGCCCTCTCCCCCTTACCTGCAGCTTCTGCTGCGGCTGTCTTGCCGTCGTCACCCTCCGCACCACCCTTCTTATCCTCCTGACCACCACCAGCACCGCTGGCCGCCGCGGCCGCCTCGGACTCGCCATGACCACCGTCCTCACCGCCCTTATCCACGTCATCGGCAGCCGCAGCCGCGCTGGGCTCCGGAGCCGCTGGAGGGGTCGGCAATGGGTCTGGCCGCAGCACCACTGCGCACACACACACACACACCATCAGAGCTCCCTCCTTCTCTAATGCGTGGCGTGACGTACGCCCATGTTCGTCCCGCAGGTAGACGGGCGATGTGATGCTGCTCTGGGAGAAGAGGCGGTCCCGCATCTGCGGCACGTAGGGCGCCGGGGGAGCCGGGGGGGCGGCTGGGGGGGCGACGAGCGGGTGGGCATCCAGCCCATCGCCACTACGGACCAGCAACACCGGCAGCTTCACCGGCTGCACATACAGAGGAGAGGAAACGGTACGGCGTGAGTGTGTGTTGTGTGTGTGGTCGGTGTGTGTGTCGTCGGTGTGGGTGTGCTTACGAATTTGCCGTGTCTGGTGTGGTATCCCTCCCACCCCTGGACTATGTTGCCCTGCACGTGCTCCGTGAGGTAGTCGCCCTCCATACTGAAGATGGACTTCTCACGCACTGAATGAAAGAAACACACCGACCAACAAAACACCAACCATCAGCCGAACAAACGAACGAACAAGCGAACGAACAGGCCACACACAGACACACACGCAGAGAGAGAGAGAGAGAGAGAGGTGGGTAGCAAGGAAGGAACCGAAGGAGGCCCCACAAAGATATTCATTAATGCATGTACCTTCCAGGTGTTTGGCGAGGTTTTCCCGGAGCTTCTTCATCTCCTCCAGGGTGTGGCCCCCGCCAGCCTTGCTCACCGCCATCCAATCGGTAACTAACCACCGGCTGGGCCTTGGCTGTCACAGAAGAAAGCCTGCAAACACAGAACGTGCCGTTGAACGTGGAGAGGAAATGCGGCTGGAAATCGGAAACCCACCTGGCTACAGCTGTGTGGCGCTTCTGAAGCGAATGATACGAACGATCTCTCGCGCCTTCCGGGGTGCGAGCTTAGAAATGAGAAAGAGACCATTCTAAGTGAAAGTGACTCATTGGTGAGTGCAGCACAGTGAGCAGAAGGCGAATTGTGAAGCCAGTGATTGCAGATTTTGGCAGATCTTGACCAAGATGCAACCCCGTCGCTGACGTGATCTAGTTGCTACGAGCGACGATGCTTCTGAAGCCACTCCGGCGCTTCCGGACCATCTGGGCTTATGCGGTCTCCCTACTGGCTTATCACCTCATGGCGTCGGCTGCAGCAATGGGAACCGCCTTTGTTACCCATCTGCTGCTCACATCCAGGAGGCACCACCACGCGCCGATACGGCCCTCTAGCATTATGCAGCAACCAAGAAGGCTGACGCCCACCGTGTCCATGTCTGTGTCCTCATCGCGAGCAGCTGCTCTTGACAGCTTCAAGCAGTGGCTGGCCAACAAGGGCGTCAAGTCAGACAGCGTCAGTGTCGACGTGAAGCCGAGCGACGTCGCCGGGCTGGGCCTTATCTGCACCAAGCCCATCAAGCGCGGCGAGGCGGCCGCTTCTGTCCCAATGAGTCTGTCAATCACCAAGGAGTCCGCCACGCAGACGCCAATGCGCGAGCACCTCGAGGGCGCCATGAGCGACAACAGCGAGATGGCCATGCTCGCCCTCTACCTCTTGTACGAGAAAAGCAAAGGCGATGCGTCTGAGATCGCTCCGTGGCTGGCGGTGCTGCCCACCAAAGACGAGCTGAACAATCCCATCTTGTGGTCAGACGGGGAGAGAGCGGAGCTTGCGCGGTCGACCACCAAGGCGATCAGCACGTGGCTGGAGGAGAGGAGCCTCGAGTTTATGCGGCTGCAGCGGCGGGTGATGGAGAAGCACCCGAATGTGTTCGATCCGGCCACTTTCACGCTGGAGAACTACCAGTGGGCCATGGCCGTTGTGACGTCGCGGTCCTTCTTTGTGGACTCTCGGTTGAGGATGACCCCGCTGGTGGACTTCGTCAACCACGACCCTGCTGCCAATGTCGAGCCTGATGGCGCACGTGAGTCGGGCGGTTGCTGGTTGCTGATGCTTTGCTGTGTGTGTGTGTGTGTGTGTGTGTGTTGCGTTTCGCGCAGCGATGGGTTTCTTGGGCAGCAGCCGTGGTGTGCGTCTGCGTGCCGACCGTGACTACGCCGTTGGCGATGAGTTCCGCGTCAGCTATGGGCCGGAGAGGAGCGCTGTCGAGTTCTTGCAGATGTTCGGCTTCATCCCGGAATACGCACCCAGCAGCTGCGAGGTCGGTGGGGTGGGTGGTGGGCAAAGGAAAGGCGTGATGTGTGGGAGAGTTATGTCTGTCTGTCTGTCTGCCTGTGTGTGTGGTGGGTTGGTCCGTGTATTGTATTGTCCCTCAGATCGAGATGTCGATAAGGGAGGCCGACAGTTTCTTCGACGACAAGGAGGACATCCTGGTCAACAACGAGTTCAGGACGCTCAGCCAGGTGTGGGACCTCCAGGCCGACAAAGACCCCGACCCAACGCTCTTACAGTTCCTCAGGCTAAGGGAGATCGGACAAAAGGTCAGCATCTCTCTCTGTCTCTGTGTGTGTGTGTGTGGCCGCGTGAGTGACCGATTGACCATGCGGCGTGCTGATGGGTCTGTGTGTGTGTGTGTAGGATGCCTTCATCCTGGAGCCGCTGTTTCGCGGCGAGGTGTGGTACCACATGAGCCTGCCATTCAGCCCTGCAAACGAAGGCGACGCTCTCAAGGCATGCTGCACACACACACACACACCGACACGCAGCTGTGTGTCCAATGGATGGGGGTCTGTCTGTCTGTCTGCAGGTGTTGGAGGACGAGTGTGTGCGCTTGCTGACGAGCTTCACATCCGATGACGAGACCGACCGGCGGATTCTCGCGGGCAGCAGCCCGGAGGCGTCTGAACGGCAGAAACTCATGGCCAGGGTAAGTGTAGTGGGGGGGATGATGGATGACACACACACGGGAATAACCACGAAAGACCCACAGACAGAGGAGAGGGCATCTTATAGCTAGATATGTGGTCGTCTGTATCTGTCTGTCAGGTGCGTGTGTCTGAGAAGGCGGCGCTGCAGTCCACCATCGAGTGGTGCGAGAGCGAAGCCCTGGTCAGTCAGCCCCCCTTCCCCCCCAGCACTGACAGACAGACAGACAGACGATTGTGCCTCTGTGTGTGGTGCGTGTGCAGGGTCTGCGTCTAAAGGAGTACTACCAAGAGCGTCGTCTGAAGCTGCTCAACCTGGACGGGCCGCTCACCGACGATGAGGTGTACGCTGATGACGACTTCGAGCGGCTGGGCAGCCGTGGGATGAGCGGCGGCCAATGAAATCAGATCAGCTGAATGAATGGCGCCATCATGGGGTCTGTCAATGAAGCCAAATGGATGGATGGATGGATGGATCTGGATGGAGATGGGTGGGGGAATGGTCCCCATGCGATGCGTGTGTCGGCTCGGCTGTGAGGACTGATCTGATGCGACTGAGTCGTCGGTGTTGAACGACCTGACCTTGTGAGGGGGGTAGGTGGAGTGGAGTGGACGGATTACTGGTCGTTCCGTCACAGTCTGTAACTAACAGTCACTCCAATGTCACTTACACGAACGGAACGAACCCTTCCTTTGAGTCCACACGTCGAGTCGAGCGTCAACTACTTACATACACACCACCAGCCGCCATGAATGCAGGCAGGTATGAACACGCTGGTCGGTCATATTGCTTCATCCGGCTGAAATGGCCAGCCTCTTCTCGGCGGCCTCGGCCATGAGCCGCCGCTTGTGCCTCTGCACACACTCGACGCTGCAGTACTTGTACTCCAGCCTGCACACACACACACACACACATCCATCCATCCAGCCATGGGCTGATTGATGTTGGTGTCTTAGCCGGCTGACCTCTGGAACGGTTTGCCCGTAATCGGAGCGCTGCAGCTGTCACATCTGAATGATCAACACACAATCCACAAACGCCGCACAGCAAGGATCGGTCAAGAAGGAAGCGTCATGTCCGTCACGGTCGCTCACATGCGCGCCAGCCGCTCGGCCTCGAGTGCCTTCTCCCTTGCCTCCGTCTGCCTGCGGTGCTCCTCCTCCCGCCTTGCCGCCTCGGCCTCCTCCTGCTGCTTCTCGACGGCCTTGGAGGCCTTCTTCCGCTGACGCGCTCGCCGCCTCTTCTCGCGCTCCTTTTCCTTCTTCCTGGCCTCCAGGTCTTCCGTCAGGGGCTCGGGGATGCACGCCTTGTGCCAATCCCACCTGCAGACAGACGCCAACAGCCACACACATACACACAGAAGAGAGAGAGAGATGAGGATGGTCGTTGAGAGAGAGGGAGGCACTTCACTCCCGGGTTACGCGTATACCTGTCTGGTGGCGCTTCGGCGCGGTATCGTCTGAATGCGTCGCGGCACTCCTTGGTCTTGCACACGAAGTAGGGCACCCGGCCCCGCATGTCGAGGCTGCAGGGGTCGAGGCCGCAACGTAACAGCAGCAACACCAACACGTCATGCCCACCCTACACACACACACACACACAGCGCGACACGACACATGGGTGAACGAATCCAGCTTCTATTCATTCTGGGTGGAGTGGCTGACCTCCGCGGCTGCATGGAGCGCCGTGGCACAAGTGGCCGGGTCACGGTCGTGAAGGTCGATGCATGACAATGCCGACTCATCCCACACCGGTCCATCTGCAGCTGTGCTCGCCTGACCGCCCGTCGTCTCCTCATCCGACTCCTCCTCATCCACCATGACGCCCTCGGGGAGCACACCCAGCCTCGCCAGAATCCTCCTGCAGGCGGCGATGTCGCCTCTCTTGGCGGCATCGATCAGGGGGTGGGGCGGCTGGGCAACTGGCGACTCTTGCTCAGGCGCTGTGGTGGCGGTGGGTTCAGCATCTGGTGGTGCTGCTGGTGGTGGGTCCTCGGTAGCCGATGATGCGTCAGGGATCTGCGGCTCCTCCATTCCTTCCGGCAGGATGACCACCGTCGACAGCTGCGCATGGCAGTGCTTCAGCGCGCCAAAGGTCGGCCGCTGGATGACAGACGGTACTCGTCGCAATCGCCCATCGGTCTTCCTTAGCGGTGCGTGCCGACGGGCGGCAGCGACGCTCTGTGCTGGTGGTGCGGCGGCATCGTCGTCGCCGAATAGCACCCCCTGCATGCGCTTGGTGGTGCTGACGAATACGAGCCGACAGCGCTTCATTTCGTCCGCCCAAGTGTCGTTGAGCAGCTCCCTCACAGACTCGCGCAACGCCTTCTCACCAGCGCGGCGGAGCGTCGCGCCTGCCACACAGAGAGATCGGAAGGGAGCCATCGTCTGTCTCGTCTTGCGGTCGGTATTGTTCGCTGCTTACCAGCCGACTTGGGGGCCCTGGTGCCGTCGCATGCGGCCTGAGCGCCTCCCGCCTTCCGTCTGACTGTGTATTTGGTGATGACCTTGTGCAGCAGCGGATGGCCGCCCTCAAATATGGCACCTGCACCAGCCACCGAAAGAAAGACCACAGTGAGGACCGCTCGCGTGTGTGTCTGCTGCGTTGCGTTGCACTGACTGCCGACCTGCGAATCGCCCCGACCGCAGCACCATGACGGCCCACAGGCGGCTTTCCCACAGCTGACACACCTCCTCAGAAAGGTCGGAGCCGGCGGCCAGCTGCTGCTGGTGGTCTCCTCGATAGCCCTTGAACAAATTTTTGCTGAAGGCGTAACGCAGCGACTCCAGCCGCACCTCCATAAAGGGAGATCTGCGCGGCTGCTCGGCAGGCAAGGTGTCCGCGGCATCCTCACCATCCTCCTCGTTTTCACCGGCTGACGATTCCTCGCTCGACGACGAGCTTTCCCCCTCTCCCTCACCCTCCCCCGGCTCATCGTCAGGCCCCTCTGCCTCAGCCAGCTCCACTAACCGCTCCCACTCGGCCGATGAGAAGGCCTTCTTGCCGTCAGCCAGTCGCCGGACGTTTGTCACATGGAAGGACGACAGGCAGTGCACACGGAACTCGGCTGCCGACGGGAAGGATACCCCGCACTTGGTGCACACAAACACGCCAGTGTGCTGGGACATGTCCACGATGGAGATGTCGTCAGGTCGGCGGCGCTCGACGGGCGACTCATCGTCCGGCGCTTGTGGGCGGATGGCGTCGAAGAATGCCGACGGCAGATCCCAGAATGAGATAGTGGCGGCGCCGTCCGCCCTCCGCGTGACGTGCTTGGGCTTAATGAACGACGGCAGGCTGATGGTGTCCATGACGACGTGTAAAGCGATTTTGTCGATGAGGTGATGAGATGGTTGATGGACCAAATCAGCCAGTCGTCATAGACGCACAGATCTTCCCCCCGCGTCCCTAAGCTCGCCTTTCGGATCGCCGACAAAACAACAAAACTCGTCCACCCGCTTCTGCACCTGTTTTGGTGGACTCCGAGGGCAGCAGAGACCCTCCAGTGTGACACAATTACATCGCTGGTGCGTAAGATGCACCGTGCTGCGAAAGCCCGGCGTGCGAAGGCGCAGCGTGCCGCTCCCCCCCTCCCCCTCCCCCGCAGCTGCCGCCCGAGGTGCTCACCTGCATCATGCAGTTCATGCCTGGTGGGGCTGACATAGGGCGGATTGAGAGAGTCTGCAGCGCCTGGTGCGAAGCCTCGCACGCCGGCAAAGACATGGTGTGGAAGCGCCATGTGCAGGACCAAAAGGCCAAACTCGTGGCAGCCAGGTGAGTGAGGTCCACAGGTCTTGCATGCATGAGTCCGCAGATCTCAACTGTGTGTGTGTTGATCTGTGCATCAATCAGGATGACACGTGGCGAGATGTCATGCAGCCATTTCGACCACGGCCCTCACAAGGAGCAGTACGCTGCGGCCGCGTGCACAGAATGCGGCGCGCCTGGAATATACGAGCTACGTAAGTGTCTTGTTGGCGATGTGTGTGTGCGACATGCATTTGTGGATCACTGTGTCTGTCCGTCCGTGTGTGCAGCCATGTACCGCATCAAGTTGTGTGAGGGCTGTGCGGACGTGCGTGAGCCGAACACACTCAATCAACTACTGACAGACACTACAGACAGACAGACTGATGTATTGGATGGCTGCAGGCTAACCCCGATGATCAGAGCACATTCAACAGAAGCCGCAAGGGCCCGCAGATGTTCGCCAAACTGAGTGTAAGCACAACACACACACACACACACACACAGAGAGAGAGAGAGAGAGAGTGTGTGTTGTGTATTCAGAAGGCGCTCGTGGCGCTCAACCGCATGAGAGGCAGACTGCCCAGGGAATCCTTGGGACTCCCCCGCCCTGCCCTCAGACGGCGGCCCCGACAGATGACGGGTGGCGAGGAGGTCAAGCGTCGCCGTGACGCACGCCGCCACCTACCCAGCTGACGTCAGTCATGCGCACATGTTCATGGGCGTGTGCCTGGCTGCGCAGCGTCTGCGGGTACAAGTGCGTGCTGGGAGTAATGTACAGCGGATGGATGCATGGATGGATGTTTGACGTGTACATATCGTGAGGGACGGCCTCGTGAACTGACTGGTGGATGCGTGTGTGTGCATGATGTTTGACGAAAGCCATACAATGTTCTCCGTCACTAGTCCACGCCCACCACGCACCACAGCCATTTCTTTCTCACTCAAGTCAGGCCACACGCACCACAGTAACCCTGTTGGCTAAGCCATGGCCACGTGTCAGGATGGATCAGATCAGCCAGTCGTGATGGTCGTACACAGCTGCGACATTCGTGTTGTTCTTCCCTCCCGAGCTCGCAAATGTCCGATCGGTGTGCAGAAAAATCATCAGCAGGGCCCATTTCACACGCTGGTGGAGTCCGAGGCCATCCCTGTGCCAATCAACCTGAGATAATCGATATCATCGCTTTCGTTTCGTCGTGACAGATGCGCCGTGTGAAGGCCAAGCGTGGTCCCGCCGTCACGTGTCAGGCCGCCGCAGCACCGCCGCAGCTGAGCACCGAAGCAGTCGCAGAGGTCATGAAATATCTGCCCAGCGGTGCTGATGTGGGACGGGCTGAGAGGGTGTGTCGGGTGTGGCGGGAGGCCTCGCGTGTGGGCAAGCATCACGTGTGGGAGGCTCGGGTGGATGAGCACAAAGCCAAGATCGGCAATGCACGGTACGCTCAGCAGAAGCCATGAGTCGGAGTGGCTTGATGGATTGACTCTGCTGTCTGTCTGTGTTTTGTCAGGCTGACGTATGGCATGAGGGCTGGAGGCCGGTTCGACCACGGGAGCAGCAAGGACCAGTACCTGGCCGCTGCGTGCACCGAGTGCGGTTCGCTGGCCACATATGAGCTGAGTAAGTCTGTCGCAATCAACCACACTCGTGTGTGTGTGTGTGTGTGTGTGTGTATGGTGAGCTGCCTGTTTGTGTGTGCTGCCGTGTGTGTGCAGGCAAGTACGGTATTCGGCTGTGCGAGCAGTGTGCGCAGGTGAGCCGAGCGCAAACACACACACACACACATGGATGGATGGATGGATGGATGGATGGACGTGTCAATGGTTGGTGCGTATGCAATGTCCATGCAGGCGGACATGAGTGACGAGACGACGTTCCCCAAGTGCCGGAAGGACCCACACCTTTTCGCAAAACTCAACGTAGGCCATGCAGCACACACCCATTGCTGGTGTCTGTATGCCTACCTGACGTGTGTGTGTGCCGTTTGTGTGTCAAGAAGGCGTTGTGTCAGCTGGGCGGCGTCCGTTGTGTGGGCGGCATGATGGCCATCACCCCCACTCCCCCCGCCCAGCGACGAGCCAACCGACGGCCCCGACGGCGCGCCCAGATGACCGGCGGCATGATCGAGCTCTCGCCCTGACCCACTCAAGTATGGAGGGGTGGTTGTTCAGTGGTGGGCGGCCATGTGATGTGTTGCGATCAATGGACACAGTTTCATCGATATGGGTAACCATATGCCGGCGCTGATGTACAGCGGGTGGGTCCTTGGCGGGGCTGCATGTCAGTGTGTGGACGTGTGGATGTGGCTGGCTCAGTGGTGGGATGAGTGAGACTTGCGTGTGATGGTGTGCAGATCCGGGTGCATGGATCCATCTGGATGGACCGTCTTCTCTCGTTTGTCAATGATTGACCCATCGCCATCGTGTGTGCAGCCATGGTTTCTGTACCGACACCCACTCAGACAGACAGGTCTTCATGAGTGAAAACGACAAACGCCATCATGGCATGAACCAGCTGGCCACACACACTCATGGCAAAAACGCTCAACCATGTCATTCGTTTCCACCCTTGTGCGCCCCCAAGTCAGCACACGGCAATCGTAGAGCAACAACACGTCATCTGTGCTGCCTGCCCTCATTCCTTGCCACAGGTCAACCCAGGAGAGAGATGGAGACCACACAGAGGAAAGACCAAAGAGGAAATGAGTGTGGGTGCGCAGACAGCCGAACACACAGAATGCCACCCATGCCATGCAGACCAGGCCCGTGTATGTATGTGTGTCGGGTGATATGTACAAATATGCACATACACATGGACGTGAAACGAATTCGCCGACGCAGACAACAGGCAGAGGGAGGACACTTAACGAAAATCGTCCGCTCCCAAGACCTCTGTCTGTTTGCTTCTGTCTGTCTGTCTGTCTGTCTGTTCCCTGCCTGTCTGTGCATCTCGCTCCACCGCCGACGCTCACGTGTGAGTCATGCCGTCGACACACACACGGATGTTGACTATGAGCATGACACAAGCAGGCAAAGGATCTGACCAAGCAGACCAATGGACAGTCGTATTTGTGGAGGGATGGATGCATGGATGGATGGATGGATGTGACCCCTCTCTCTCCCTCTCTCTCTCTTACAGTTATGCCTCTCTGGGGTGTGTGTGTGTGTGTGGTGGTTCGCCTGTCTGTCTGTGTGCCGGCCGTGTGTGACGTGTGCATCAACGAGAGATGGCAACACTCTCGTGAGCATCCGTCGCTCACGGTCACCGCAGACGCGGCGAGGGAACGACACCACAGCAAAAAACACAGCACAACACACAGATGCATGAGCAGCCAGCCCATTGTTCAGCCGATTGGTCCTCATCTCTGTCTGTCAGCCGTCACTGTCATTCGCTCC